GACAAACTACCCTCAGAAAAACGTATTATGGCACTTACTTTAACGTGAGTTATGATCTGATGTTCATTACTTAGAAGTCTGCGCATTGAGTTTTACAGTAATAAATCCTTTCTCTTCTGGTTCATGCAGCTACAAGATCAAATTGGAAGACGGAGCTGAAGTAAAGCCTCAAGTTCCATTACTTAACAATCGCGTATATGACACCAAATTTGAGTCTCAATTTTATATGATCTCTGATGCAAACAAGGTACTTTTGAGCGTTGTTTTTGTCATAGTTGAATATGAAATTTTGATATTTTGTTACAACAGGGAAGCTAAGGATGCATTTCCCTCATCCCAATTATCACGTGTAAATGTTTAATCATTGGAATCCTTTGAGTGTACTCTTTCATTAGAATTTCTTACTTTCTTCCATTTCTGATCATAGCGTATATATGCAATGGGTGACATATATCCAAGTAAATCAAGACTGCCCAAGGGAGATTACAATTTGCGGCTATATCTAAGGTATTGTCCTCTTTTTGAGACAACACATAACCAGCATGCCCATGCATGCTTTTATTTACCTGCAATTAGGGCTTATTTTACTACCAATAATCATCTTGCAGTTTCCTTTGTTAGTTTGTTGAAGTTATTCTTTAATGTGAAATTATCTTAATATGAATATACCTGGCATTGTTTGCCACCATGGACATTAACACTGGAAAGCTGCATTAGGCATAAGTCAATTTTCTACTAGATTAACAAAAATTGCTGCTATTCAAACATCATCTAATACGAGGTGTTTCAACCTTAGACATGACAATGTGCAATACTTGGAAAAACTGAAGCAGCTGGTGTTGTTCATCGAGAGAAATTTGGAAGAGAAGGTAAGAGTTATTCTATATAGTGATATGCTGTTCTTAATATAACTCTCTTATAATCAAAATTGTAGAAGATTATCTGTAATATTTACACCCCTGGGTCAATGCGTCTATGTTTCATTACTTATTAAATGTTCTTATTTCTTTTCAAACCAGGATGTAATCCGGTTGAGCTTCTTCTCCCAACCTGATGGCCCTTTGATGGGAAACGGTAGTTTTAAGTCTTCAGTATTAGTCCCAGGGTATGCGGCTGAATAATTTGTTCTTGTGGTTTAATGACATCATTTTGCAATGGTATTTAACTTCTTGATCTTTGGTAGGAAAAAAGAAGCATTCTATTTGGGTCCACCATCCAAAGACAAGCTTCTAAAGGTATTGTTCTATTTATATATTTATTTTTAATTTGATGTAAGCGCTGATTTTAATGCTAGTGATATGTTTTGCAGTTTTCTTCACAAGGATCTGTATTACTTGGAGCTATCTCGTACGGGAAGCTGTCATATGTTGATAAGGGAGAGGGAAAAAATCCGCTAAAGAACCCTGTGTCTTATCAGATTTCTTATATAGTGCCACCAAATAAGGTTTTATATATAATCCTCGGTGTCCTAAGACAACATCATATATGTTCTCATGTGACTGACCAGCTGACTTGAGCTTTGGTTAGATCTACTGTTTTCATTAGTTATTTAGCCAACAAAAACATGTGTATATAAATAGTTTTCATTACAATTGCAGATGGACGAGGACAAAGAAAAAGGTTCTTCTACTTCCACCAAGCCCGTTTCTGAGCGGTTAAAAGAAGAGGTATGTAAGGCACATTAGTTTCTTAATCTGTTATGGATGCATCAGATCTTTATGCAGGTTGCTTCATCTGTTCTCCATGCATCAGATCTTTATGTGGGTTACTTCATCTGTTGTCTATGCATCAGATCTTTATACGGGTTACTTTGGGTAAAATTTGTTGGTAACTTCTGATTTTGAAATTGGAAAAGTTGAAAGCATGCTACTCATTCCCACCTTTATCCGACACTTGTGTGGACATTTGTAGTAAAATTCACTGACTTAACTAAATAATAGATATTGCTTCCTAAGGTGCTATCTTTTTCTTTTTCAAGTGGTTCATACCAAGCTGAGAAACCTGATATTTCTGTGGCACTTCTAGAACTGAGCATGTGCATACAGTTACCATTATTTACGGCTTTTCAAAGTTGGTAACAGATTTGTCTAGCGAGTCCTTATTTTATTCTTTACTTTGGCATTTTTATTATAAAAGCTCCTTGCCTTCCTGTCAGATTCTGAGGTTCACAAATCTTTCCACCTGAGATGTTATGCTTATTGTTTGTACTTTGTTAATCAGGTTCGAGATGCAAAGATTAAAGTTCTTGCAAGCCCGAAGCAAGATACTGAGGAAGATTGTTTGGAGTGGAAAAAATTATCGTCTTCTCTTAAGGTTAGAGCTCATATCCTCGTATTGTTATGGTATAGATTAAATGATTTAGGTGTGTATGATCAGGCATTGGCTATTTTAGGTCATTTGATGACATGTAAAGGAAGATTATTTGAATTCAGTTTCCGGCATTGTCTATATGGTAGGGTTCTTATATTGAGTTTGCTTCATTCAACGTGGTTAGTGGGCCTCTCACTTCTAAGTGCCATGTCACCAACTTTGCATATGTTACACATGGACACGACACTCACATGAGCTTTTAGTCTAAATCTGTTCCAGAACTATACGTTTTGACCTGTTAATTTATACTTATAGTCAATGCATGTATAGATATGTATTTAATAATATATTTGGTTTCAAATTGAGCATCTGCTGATTAAGTCTGTTGAGACTAGCCATCGAAATTATCATAGTATGCTTGAGGTTTATGTAGCATCTATAACTTACTCGTTGTATGTAACTTGTGCTTCTCTTTTCAGTCTGAATATCCTAAATACACCCCACTGTTTGCAAAGATCTTGGAAGCTGTACTTTCTCGGAGCAATGACAAGGACAAAGTCTGCCATGAAAAAGAGGTAGTGTAGTACAACCATATGGCCAAGAATGATGTAGTTTTGTAAATTTTTAATCCCTTGCAAGTGAAGAAATATAATTTATGTTCCACTTTTGGAAGTTGGGGGGTTTGTTGCCAGGTGAATACCTCACCAAATGTTTTGGTTTAGGGTAATTGATTAGGGCAATCGGATCCCCATGCAAGAGTTACCCGTCTTCATTATTTTCAATACATGATGAACTGATTCATACTTTGTAAATACTGTAGGTGTATACAACCTTTCTAAGTTCAAGGTTGTGAACTTAAATGTATATGCTTGCGGGGTTTGTTTATGCGGTGATCTAATAGCAGCAGTTATCACATCCTCTGCTTTGCAGGTAATTGATGCAGCGAATGAGGTGGTTGACAGCGTTGATAGAGACGAGCTGGCCAAATTTTTTGCACTAAGAAGTGATCCAGATGATGAAGAGGCAGAGGTGTGCTATGTGTTAAATCATACTTGCTTTTCATTCCGTCTTTCTGAAAACCGTTGTGAAGATGCCAAAATTATTTCAGAGAATCAATAAATCTTACAAGCTTTTTTCATAAATTTGTTGTATAGGTTAATAATAACTAGTACTGATTCTTGTTATAGAAAATTAAAAAGAAGATGGAGACAACTCGTGATCAATTAGCAGAGGCATTGTACCAGAAAGGACTGGCACTGGCAGAGATTGAATCTTTGCAGGTTGGAATAGTTATTTCCTTCGAAGTACTTTCATAGTCATCTAAGGTTAATCTTCTGTTTTTAAAAGTTTGGTATAAAGTATGTGAAAGTTACACGGTCAGACTCAGATTTTATTTGAGTTGGGTCAGCATGAGGTGGTTGTATGTTTGGTTAACGTAAAGCTTACTTCTTTCTAGGATGTTGAGCTTTAAAATTGTGAGGAACTTTTGTTTTCTTCCATTTTTCACAGAAAAGCTTTTACAATTGCCATGCGGGTATGACTATACGTACTTTTTAATATGCGATCAGTTCGCCATACCTATGAATACTGACTGAGAACTCACTACTCTTTCTTCCATTCAAGTATTACAGTCCATCTGTTTCTTATACCCATTTATTCGGTAGTGGCAACGTTCATATGCATTTATTTTAAATGCATCTCCTAATTTTCATTTATGTATCTCTAACAATTAAATGGAGTACAAACTTACCGATTATTGTTGCTGGGTGACAAGCCTGCAAAGGCTGAAGGTGCAGAAGGGGGAGAGAAGATTAAAGATCCTTTGAAACCAGACTCAGATTTGTTTGAAAGCAACTTTAAAGAACTTCAAAAATGGGTTGAAGTGAAGTCCTCCAAATACGGAACTCTCTCAGTACTACGTGAGAAACGTTCTGGAAGGCTTGGAACAGCACTGAAGGTATTTTGCTCTTTCCCATCTTAAGCTTTGGAAAAGCACACTGCATCTCACCTAAAACCATGTATAATCTCATAGGATCAGTATCATTTGCACTTTCTGGTAGGCTTTTGATTGAACTGCTTGAGTAATTCTAATTGTACGTCAGCTCAATAAACACATTAATATAATAAGTTCCAAGCCAATAAACCCGAAAAGAATTCAAAGCGCTCTAGAAACATACAATCTGGTCCTCTAGTCATTTGTAGTTTCAAGGTTTGTATTTCCCTGGAAATATTGTCAAAGAGGAACAGTTTATCTACCTGATCATATTTACGAGTGCAGGTTCTGAATGACGTAATTCAAGACAATGGGGAGCCTCCCAAGAAGAAGTTCTACGACCTGAAGATTTCCTTGCTCGATGAGATTGGCTGGCAACATTTGGCGGCACACGAGAGGCAATGGATGCATGTCCGCTTTCCACCAAGTTTACCTCTTTTTTAGAGTTACTCCGTTTCAATTCTCAGAGATCAAATAAATGCGAATAGTAATATCACACTAAAATGTGCTAGACCATGTGACTGATTGAGCTAGTTTTTCGCCTACTTGAAGGATAGTTTGTATGACGTTTAAATGATCGTTTCTCACATTCTCTTCTATCTGTAGTGCTGCTTGTGATTATACTCGTCTTCTGTCTTCGAAGTGAAATAAAACTTGCACGGAAGGACGGGCTGCAAATATCCTTTGCAAGTTGAACTATAAGCGTATTTGTTTCCTTTGCTTTTTATTCAAGATATCAACGCTGCTAATCTCCAATAAGGATTAGGAGTGATAAGCTCGTAGAACCCAAGTGCCTAGAGGGGCTGGAGTGCTAGAGGCAGGCCATAGGAAGGTCTCAGAGTGAGCTCAACGGAAGGCAAGTGGCTATAAGTTGGAGAGATGGTAAAAGAAAACCTAGTTAGAATTAGGGTTAGAACTATCTTGTACTCCAAGAAAGTCAAGTTTCTACCAATGCACATTCTCCCTCCAAACCCAAAAGGCAAGTACGCCATCTTGTGCTTGCACCCGCCGTGGATGTCGTCCTTGAACCTCTCCGGCTTGAACTCATTGACGTCCTCGCCCCACAGGGCTGGGTCGTGGTGCATGCCGACGATGTCAATCCACATGTTTGTTCCACTCGGAATGGACAGGTCGTCGCTCACTTGAATGTCGGCTTTGGCTTGCCTTTGTGCATTTGGTGATGAAGGGTATAGTCGTAAGGCTTCATTCATCACCCATCCCATCTGCATCATTAAATTAAGCACAATCAATTACGGTGTTTGAATAAAAGCATCTTACCAGAGAAAATAAAAAGGCAAAAACAGCCCGTTTGGTGGGCTGGATGGAATTGGATCAAGGGATAGGATTAGATGAATAGAAACTTGTAAAACATAACTTGTAACCCATGTGTAAGGATAGTTAAATAATTCACTTTATTGTGAATTTACAACCCATCATGTCCAGTCTCGTCCATCTCACATTGTGACACAACAAACAACGGACTGGACTCAATTCCATTTTAATTGATCACAACTTATCCCATCAAGCCTACCAAACCGGGCAGAGGAAAGTTTTACCTTCTTTAGTCCGGAAAGCATGTCCACATCAATTTCTTTATTATCTCCGACCACTTCCCTACACTCCTCTCTCAATTGATGTCGCCAATCCTGGTGGGCGGCCAGAAGCAACATTGTCCATGTGATTGCCAATGCAGTTGTCTCATGACCTCCAAAGAAAAATGTCTTGCACTCATCCACAAGTTCTTGTGTTGTGAAGCCTCGTTCACTCTCCGCAAGCAACAAGCCAAGCAGGTCGCACTGCGGTGTCAACCCTTTGATGGATTTTCGCCTTTCGTCAATGATTGACAAGAACAATTGGTTGATTTCTTGCCCAAGTTTTCTGGCCTCTAGGGTTTCCTTAGGGTGCATAATTGGTCCGAAAGGAACTCCCACAAGACGGCTCGTTTGAAGAGTGTCATTTGCAAGGATCTTAGTTTTTCGAACACTAGGCGCCCACTTTGGTAGCTGATGCCAAAGCTGGTCTTGGCGATGATGTCTCCGGCGGTTGCTGTGATTTCTCTCTCGACGTCGATTTCTTGAGCACCGGAATCTTTCCAATTGTCTAGCATTTTGATGGTGGTCTCCACGATTAAGCTCGCCATTGCCTGAATTCATAAACAAAGCGAAAATGGGCAAAGCATAATATCAAGTACTGTGTCTGATATTAGTATGCGTTTGTTCTGCATATATATATATATAGAAAGAGCGAAAGTGTATACCTTTAAGTTTGTTGGGTTAAAAGCAGGAGTGATAACATGGCGGTGACGAACCCAGTCTTCCCCTTCGGACATGACTAGGCCATTACCGAACATCGGGGCTCTATCGCGTCGGAACACTGCTGGCTTCCCCCAGTTCTTTGCTGTCACCTCGGCAGACAGTTTTTTCAGTAGCTCTGGATCTGCTATGTACAAAAATGGCTCAGTCCCCAACCAATAAACGAACGTCTTTCCTGCAAATATACACAAACACAAATCAAGCATTTTATACAAATATTTATCATTTATTGACATGAATATTTGGGCATGCAAATGTGTTTTGCAGATGGTTATCATATGGGCACTTAAACGTGTGAGTTTACTTACCGAAAGAGTTTTGCCATCGAGTAAAAAAAGGAAAAAGAGTTGAGTGTATGTCATGGGAGATATTTGAACTTCGAAAATTGATGGTCTTCTTTTTCATCTCACTCAGATTTCCGAATGGAAACCTTGGAGGGGGACCATCCAACCCATTTTTCTTGAGCCTCCTGTACGCAAGAATTGGGAAACCCCAGAGAGAAAATATTAATCTGCAGAAAATATACAGAAGTGCCATGACGATGGCGTTGACGAAAACTAGAAGAATGGTTTCCATCTCTCTCTCTCTCTCTCTCTCTCTCTCTCTATGTCTCGTTAGTTTATCCATCTTATATATAGAGTTTATAATATATACAATACAGGCACACAAGCCTTATTGTACTAGGAAAGTAAATCCTAAAATTTACAATTAATTACAAGGAAGGTAATCTACAATACAAGGAAGGAAGGGAATCTACAATGTAAGGAAGGGATTGTACAATACAAGGAAGTTAATCAACGATACAAGGACGGTAATCTACAAAAGATAGAAAAACTAAATGCTAAAGATCACAATTAATTACAAATCCTAAATCTACCAAACATAGGACTCCTAGAATATTTACATGAAAATCAACACTCCTCTTAAAGTTGGTGCATAGATATGAGCATGCCCAACTTGATAAGTGAGTCATGAAACACTTTACTATATACTCCATGAGTAAGAATATCAGTATGTTGCTCTCCTGAAATTTTTTATATTTTGAGTACTCATCTTAGTGGTCTAGTAGCATATTAGATGTGTTTACTTGTTGAACTTTCAAAATATGTCAAACACATGCTTGTTTGATCTCATGAATGTTGAAAACAGTCCAAATATACTCCACAAAGAAAAATTGTGTACTTTTGACACCTAATAAGCTTTTCATCTTTTGTACTCATTCTCAAAAGTCTAGTAGCATATTATATGTGTTTATTTGCATAAGTTCTGAAATGTGTCACACGATGCTCGTTTGATCCCATGAATGCCGAAACAGTCCAAATACACTCCAAAAAGAAAAAGTTGAGTACTTTTGACACCCATTAAGTTTTGATCTTTTGAGTACTCATTTTTAGTGGTCTAGTAGCATATATATGTGTTTTTTTTGCTTAAACGCCATAGTGTCCCAAATGCCTACTTGTTTGATCCTATGAATGCCGAAAACTGTCCAAATACGCTCCAGTAAATTTCGATATGTAATGCTTGTGATTATACTTGTCTTCTGTCTTCGTAGTGAAATAAAACTCACAGGTCCTAAAAGACTCATCCCCTTGAGATTTCAAATTAAAAACCGATTCGGTCATATCTTTTGCTCATTTAATTGTCATGATATTTGTTTCTTTTGCTTTTTATTCAGTATAACAAGCCGCTAATTTCCAAATATTCAATATGGCTTACAATGAGATGCCACTTGAAAGGTTTTATTAATGAATAAAAAATTAATTGAATGACTCTAAGGCAAAAGGAGAAACTCTTAAGAAATGACTGAGGAACACGTGACTGGACGATTACACACACCGAACCCGGCCCCCTGTATAGGGTAAAGACTGGGTCCAAACTATGACCTAGAAAGTTGCATGCATGCGTACGGTCGTACATAAAAACTGCTCCAAAATTAGGGTGAAAATTAGAGACTTTTACAATAAGGACTAGGAGTGATAAGATCATAGGGCCCAAGTGCCTAGAGGGGCTAGAGTACTAGCGGCAGGCCATCTGAATGCAGTATGTGTGTGGTGCTGTAGCGCAGTAAGTTACAGTCGGCAACCTTTACAAAAAGTCTGAGTTTCATTTAACCTTTTATATATCTTATTGAATAATTATAATTTTTAATTAAAAATATATGATGCTTACTCAAATTATATTAATAGAATTAAAAGATGTATATATATATATATGTATATATATATATATATATATATTCTTGAAATATTCAACACTTATTGCGACTCCCCTTCTATTTTCAGAAAATAAATTTGACTAATTATATCTTTTAATTCTATTAATACAATTTGAATAAGTATCATATATTTTAAATAAAAATTGTAACTATTCAACAAGATATACAAAAGGCTTGAATGAAACTCAACCATTCAACACTTATTGCCTCTCCGTTCTATTGTGCTCTATATATATATATATATATATATATATATATATATATATATATATATGATTTGGTGCTGCATTGTGCAGCATGTGTGTGGTGCTGCAGCACGCAGCAAGTTACAGTCGGCAATCTTAACAAAAGGTTGGGTTTCATTCAATCTTTTGTATATCTTGTTGAATGGTTACAATTTTTAGTTAAAAAGATATGATGCTTACTCAAATTGTATGAGTAGAATTAAAAGATGTAATTAGTCAAATTGATTTTCTGAAAATTCTAAATAGAATACATATCTTTTGGGTCACCACTATTAAGAAGGATTGTATATCTTCAACTAAAATGAAAGGACTCGATGAATGAGTGGTTTAATGCCTATAAATACCTATTGTGGCATAATGTTTTACACACAATTTCAGAAATTTGTTTCTACATTGCTTACTCTCTTCTTTCTCCATCACATTCATACAATTTCTTTCTAGTTATTTCTTAGGGAATATAATTTAGTTTTGCTAATTGAATATTCCATACTTTGTTATATCTTGGAAGTGATTTGCCAAGAACCCTTTAGCAAACTCATTTGAGTGGGGGCAAATAACACTTTAAGGAAACGATTCAAGTTGTACCTTAAAGTCATCATTCAGATTATTTTCTATATTTCTACATTTACTCTAACAATCTTAAAGTGTTATTTTCGTCATGGAGAACAAATATGATAATATGGCTTTGAAGATTATCAATCAAGATGTCTACAAGCTAGACAAATTTGATGGATTAAATTCACCCGATGCAAGGACAAGATGCGTTTTTCATGCTTACTGTTCTAAATATCATATATGTGTTGGACCCGATTTATGAACCAAGTGACAAAGACTCAGACAAAATAGTTATCGATCAAAAGAAGCGTGAAGAAGATGAATTGGTATGTCAAGGACACATCTTGAGCACATTATATGATCGCTTATATGACATGTACGCACACATTCAATCTCTAAGGGAAATTTGGGAAGCACGTGAACATAAGTACACAACAGAAAAAAGAGGTACCGATAAATTTTTAATGTTCAAATATTATGAATTCACTATGTTTGATAACCAACCCATCCTACACCAAGTTCATGAATTGTTGGTCTTGGTCTCAAAGCTTTGTGAACTTAAAATAGTTATTCCGGATCCTATGATAGTTGGGACTATTATGGTAAAATTACCCCAAACATGGAATAACTATAGAAATAAACTTCTACACGTGGTGGAAGATATTAGTTTGGAGGATTTGCAAAAGGGTGTTCAAATTGAAGAGGAAACTCGAAATTGTGATAAGAATTTTGCAAATCAAGATTCTTCTAAAGTTCACATTGTCGAAGGAAGCAAATATAAAATGAAATTCATAGTCAAAATTGACAAAGGGAAGTTTAAGACGACCAATTTCAACAACAATCAAAAGAATGCAAATGGTGTCTGCTACCATTATGGAAAGAAAGGTCATTACATTCGTGATTGTAAACACAGAAAAGTAAATGAGGAATATGCCAATAAGACCAATAGCACAAATATGGTGGAAAACTCTGGAATTGATAACATTGTTGCAATAGTCTCAATGCTGCATATTGGCATGATTACTGAATTGAATATGGTAGAGGCAATAAAATCCTTCGATTGGTGACTCGACTCAGGGGCTACTATACATGTGTGCAATGACAAGGCACAGTTTAAGACATATGAAACATCAACGGACAATCAAGAGGTTTTAATGGGGAATCATAATTCCGCCAAAGCTCTAGGAAATGAACTGTCGAACTTCAGTTTACTTCTGGGAAGAAATTGACGTTGCTTAATGTACTGCATGTTCTAGAACTTAGAAAGAATCTTGTGCACCTGCAAATTTATTATGTAAGAACGGTATAAAGACTATTATAGAGTTCAACAAGTTAATAATGTCGAAAAATTGAATGTTTGTTAGGAAGGGGTATTCCTGTGATGGGATGTTCAAACTAAGTATTAATAATAAAGTGAATTTTTCTGCTTATATTGTTGAATCTTCCTCTCATTTATGACATTCATATTTAGCACATATAAATTTTAGATCTTTAAAATACATGTGCATACTTGGTTTAATTGCTTGCAATGATGATTATAATGATAAATGTGAAACATGTATTCAAGCGAAAATGACTAAGAAACATTTTCCAATTGCCAAAAGAAATACAAATTTATTCGACTTAATACATTCTAATATATGTGAATTCAATGGTATTTTAACAAGAGGAGGAAAAAGATATTTTATCACATTTATAGATGATTGTTCTAAGTTCACTTATAGTTTATTTATTGTCTAATAAAGATGAAGCTTTTGAGTGTTTTAAGCGTTATAAAGCTGAAATTGAAAACCAAAAGGAAGGAAAATTAAATGTCTTCGTAGTGATAGAGGTGGTGAATATTTTTCACATGAATTTAATATTTTTTGTGAAGAGCATGGTGTTATATATCAAAGAACTGCACCCTATACACCACAACAAAAATAGTTTGGCAAAAATAGTACACTCATTGAAATGATTAATTTTATGATGATTAATGCTAATACTCCAAAATATTTATGGGGTGAAGCATTGTTTACTGCATGCCATATACACAATAGAATTACATCTACAAAGACACATGTGTCACCATATGAAATTTGGAAAGGAAGAAAACCAAAATTTTATAATGACTACTCAATATCTAGAAAAGAGAATGATCAAACACCTTCCTCTAATCTGGCTACTAGTCATTCTCAAGGTGAGAAAAGAAAACATTCTGAAATTGTTAATGAACCAAGGAAAAGCCAAAGGGTAAGAAAAGAAAAGACTCTGATTTTATTTCGTCTTAATTTATTGTATTTTTAGTCGAATGAAATAGAAAGAAGGTTATTAAAAAAAAATACCCATATTGTTGAATGTTGAGGATGATCCTAAAAGTCTAAGCGAAGCATTGACTTCAAGAGATGCAGCCTTTTGAAAAGAGGCTATAGATGATGAAGTTGAATTATTAATATCTAATCAATATCTAATCAAACATGGGTTTTAGTATACTTTCCCCAAGGATCAAAAGCAATAGGTTGTAAGTGGGTGTTTAGAAGAAAATTCAATACCGACAGGTCTATTCAAACATTTAAAGTCAGGCTGGTTGCCAAGGGTTTTAAGAGAAAAATGAATAGACTATTTCAATACATATGCACCAGTAGCTAGGATCACATCAATTAGAATATTGTTTGCATTGGCATCTTTATATAATTTGCGTGTGCATCAAATGGATGTGAAAACAACTTTTTTAAATGGTGATTTAAATGAAGAAGTCTATATGGAACAACCAGAAAGGTTTGTTCTCCCTGGGAATGAAAAGAAAGTTTGTAAATTAGTCAAGTCATTATATGGATTGAAGCAAGCACCAAAATAATGGCATGAAAAATTAGATATTGTCATTTTATCATATGAATTTAGACATAACAATGCTTATAAATGCATATATTCTAAATTTACAAATGATTATGGTGTTGTTATATGCTTATATGTCGACGACCTT